CGAGGGAGCGCGGGCCGGGTCGGAGCCGGGCGCCCGGTGGAGGGACCGGGATCGGGGCCGCGCGCGCCCGGGTGGACACGGCCCTCCACCCGCCCCACCCAGCCGCGCCCGCCCCGAGCCCGCCGCGGCCGCAGCCTCGAGGGCTCTGGAGCCGCGGCGGCCGCAGGCGGTGCCCGCCCGGCCCCGAGGGGCCACCGGTGGCGCCCAGTCCGCGCCCCCCGCCGCCGCCGCGCGCCCCGCTCACCTGCACCAGAGCGCCAGCAAGCAGCAGCCGCCCGGCCGGCGCCCCGGCCCGCGCGCGCATCGCCGCCGACCGCCCGCCGGCCCGCCGCCGCCGCCCCGCCCGCGCCCGCTCCGGCGCCGCCGGCCCCCAGCGCCCGCCCGTCCGCCCCTCAAGCGCCGGCGGCGGCAGCGGCAGCGCGGCGCGGCGCGCGGGGTCAGCGCAGCGCCGCGGGCCTGGGCGGCGGCGGCGGCGGCGGTGGCTCCGGCTCGCTGGCGGCGCCTCCCGCGCCCGCCCGGCTCCGGCCCGGCTCCCACCCGGGCGGCGGCGGCGGCGGGTCCCGGCTCGGCTCTGCGCGCCCGCGCTCCAGCCCCGCAGCCAACAAGTTCGGGACGAGACTGACAGCTCGCTCGCCCATTCGTCACCCGCGCACCTGCATATGCATGAGGGGGCGGGCCGCGCCGCGGGGTGGGGCCGCGCCCGGGCGCCCCGCTTTAAAGGCGGTGGAGGGCGCCGCCTGGCAGTGTCGGGTCGGCGCGCCCCGCGGGGTCGGGACCGCGGTTGGGCAGGGGCCGCGCCGCAGCGCCCCCTCCCGTGTCCCCGCCGGCGTCGGCAGCGGGCTGAGCGCCCCTGAGGTCGCCGCCGCGGTCCCTCCCGTCAGCGCGCCACCGCCGCGCTGTGCGCTGTCCCAGCGGAGGCGCCGCCGCGGCACAAGCGCAGCTCCAGGGCCAGAGCGGGACCGGCCCCCGCGCTCCGGCGACTCCCCCGCTCCGGCCGGCTGCAGGGGGCGCTGCTCCCCGCCCGTGCCCCGGCCTCGGCTCTCGCGGCGCGCCGGTCGCGCGGCCAGTCAGCAAGTGCAGGGTGGCGCTGGCGCGGAGGTCGCCAGGCCATGCCCTCGAGGAACGCCCAGGACACAGGCCCGGGCTTGGGGAGCAGGGCCGGGAACCAGGGGGACAAAGGCCGCCAGTGCATGTCCTGACGGCTGCCCTGGTCGCCAGGCCCCCACGCTCACCCTCTGCAGTCGCTCGCTGCCCTCTCCCTGCCCCTCTGCGCCGTATATACCAAGAGCACCTCGTCTGCAAACGTTACCTCTCCACTGAGCAGGACTGCTCACCTGGGCGGTTAGAGATCCGCGTATGATCCAGAGGGTCCTCCCGCCCCACCACACAATAACTGAGCCGTGCAGCCCCCTATCTGGAGCAAGTCCCCGCCACCCTGGGCTGGGTGGGGCCCTGGAGGACTTCCTGGAAGGACAGAGCTCTGGAGGCACAGGTGCTGCCATGTTCAGCGGCTGGGGGAGGGCAAGTGGGACTCCGGCACAGAGGCCCACCCTCTCCAGAACGTGCCAGTGCAGCCTGCATAGGGAGCCAATGCGGCCCGAATGCCCCTCACCCATTTGGCATCCCCCTCCAGAAGCCAGGCCTGCAGGAGCAGCTGGGCTCTGCTCACTCAGGGCCGGCCAGCACCTGCACCCCAGGGCCTAGAGACAGGCAGGCCAGGTGGGGTTAAACTCAGGCCAGGCACAGCCACACACAGACCCCCACGGGATATATATGGGCACTGGAGCGGTGTCAGAGCCTTGCTGTTGCTTTCTGCCTGCAGGTGGAGGGGTCCCCCGTGGAGATGCCTGCTCTCTTTAGCTTTAGTGAGGGGCGGGGGCAGGTGCTCGGGTGCTCAGGAGAAGGAGGCCCCGGCCCCAGAGGCCAGGACTGCATCCCTGCCTGTGCTCACTGCCCCACTACCCAAAGACGCCCCGGTGCCTCTATCAGCAGACCGTAAGGCCAAAACCGGGGTGGGCCCCGCCCAGACCCAGAGGATGCCAAGGGTCGACCAGGCGAGAGCTGAGAAGAGAGAGCACTTATCCAGGCCTGAGGGACTAACGAGCATGACCCCAGTGAGGGCCTAGGAGAGGACACAGTGGCCCCTGGGGCCTGTTGGTGACACCAGAGTCTTCCTGCTAAAACCAGTGGGGGCCGTGAGAGCAGCTGGGCTGGGTGGCTGCAGTGACTTCATGTCCACAAAGACCCCTGGCTGTGGGGCGTGAGGCCCAGGGGAGAGACAGGGCAGGGCCGAAGGGGGGTTCCAGAGTAAGAGACGGAACCAGGGAACAATCCCTCCGGGGCCCCTCCCCCGTCCACCTCCAGCTTCCTGCTGGGGCCAGCGGGGAGGAAAGGATGGAACCGGCCTACCCATTCAGCGGTGTGGCTGCCTGATGGCGGCTGGTGCGAGGAAGCCTGTTCCTTGGGCCGCTGCGTCCGACCAGGGCTCCCCGGCCCGGGCGGCTCAGCCCGGAGCCCCCAGGGAGCGTGCTCTGTCCACCCTACACAGCTCCACCTGGGGCCCTTCCGCAGGCCTGCCTGCAAGGCTAGGGAGCTGGCAGCCTGGCCCCCTCTGCCTCCCTCTGGCCCTTCGGGTATGCGACCTGGGTCCCCGTGGCCCAGCGTGCCACCCCAGCGGCACAGAAGCCCTCCCTCTCAGGGTCCCCTTCTCCTTCCTCCCAGGAGCACAGCTGGGACCTAATGCCATCCAGGAGAGGATCACGGTCAGGAAGGTGGCCACACCTGCCCTTGGGGAGGAGGGTACAGAGGCCCCGAAGAGGGGGACCCTCCCTCCTGGGGTCCTCTCCCTGCAGGGATTTATGCAGCCCTTGGGCAGAACTGCCAGGGCTGGCTGGACCCTGCAGGTGCACTGGTAGCGGCAGCAGTGGGAGCCGTCCGCCCCCCAGATTCCAAATGGCTCATCTGCCTCCCTGGGCTGTACCTTGCTGGGGTCCCACGGGGGCCAGGGCTCCAGTCTCCACCCTCACCAGGCCAAGCCACCCCTCCTCTTTCATGAAGGGGCCCCACCATTGTCCTGGGCCCCAGGGGGTGTCACAGCACCCCCAGCCTCCCAGCCCCACCTGCCCCCAGCTGCCTCTCTGAGCCCCCCGACACCAGGGGCTCGCGTGCTCTGAGGGGTGGTGCTCAGCTTGTGCTGCAGCAGGCACAGGGCGGGGGCCGCTCAGCCTGACTAGGGGGCAGGCTCCGAGACCAGGCAGGGGACCAGGCTGCAGGGGTTTGGACAGAGCCACTAGGCTCCGGAGTGAGCTGTGCTTCCGTCCGAGTCCTGCCGTGCTAAATATAGCAGACAGGGAGGGGAGTTTCCGGTTACAGCCCCCCCTCCGTGCCCCCCCCCTTGCCGGGAAATCAATGCCAGCTCCATTAGGCCAGCAGCGGTGCCTGCTGACCCGCCCGTCGGGCCGCAGAGCAGAGTGAGGGGCTGGACTGCACCCAATCCAGGTGCCCTGTGCCCTGCCCCCACCCGCCCATAGCCCTGACCCCCCATGCCCACCATCGGTCCCTCCAAGGCAGTGGGCAGCACCCGCAGGTCAGCCCAGAGGGCCAGGGGAGCTTGAGGCAGGCATCGTGTGGGCTGCAAGGGAGGGAGGCCCGGTGGGGTGGCCCTGGGCTGCCAGAACTGTCCCTTGCATCCCGTCCTGTGAATGTCCTGCCGGGACATCCCCAAGCTAGGGTGAAGCTGAGGCCGACCAGGACCCCGCCATGGAACAGCCCGTGGACACCCCACACTCCTGAAGGCCTCTCCCCAGCAGCCCTGTGCCTGGCCCGGCCTGGTGCTCACGGCCCCACCTGGGCTGCCACAGCCAGTATTTGCATACAGGTGGTGCTGCCTTTGTGGGCCCCTGCGGCACAGCCTCCTCAAGTGCCAGGTCCCCCCGGGGGCTGTCCAGCACCACACTGGGTGAGTACCAGGTGGCAGTCCCTGCCTCCCTGCCCAGGGTGCCACAAGGAGAGGCTCACGGTCAGGAAGGTGGCCACGCCTGCCCTCGTGGAGTCAGAGGGATGAGCCCAGCAGGAGGGCAGGGGCTGTGGGCTCCGAGCTCCATCACAGGAAGCGCTTCCCGCCAGAGCTCAGTGGGGTGGGAGTGGGGGAGGGCGGGAGTGCAGGAGACCCCAGCCCCATGCCATCTCAGCAGGAGCCAGAGGCATCATGCCCTCCTGCCACCCCAAGTGCGCTGGGACCTGGAGGGCAGCTGCACGCACCTCACGCAGCCCGACCCTCAGAACAGGCCGGAGGGCGAGGCCAGGGCACGCAGGGCGGGATGCTCCGGGGCTTGTGGCTGAGCCCCCAGTGTGGGCCGGTGGGCGAGGCTGAGGCAGTCTGCTTAGTGCCTGGGGCACAGCCTGGGCTAGGGCCACGCCAAGACTACTGGCCTTGTGTCCCCCCTCCCCCCGCCGTGTGCCGCCCCCCTCCTCTTGGGGCAAGGCTGTGGGCACTGCTGCGTGCTCCGCCGGCCAAGGGCCCAGGGGCTGGGAGGGCTACTGGGGACACCCAGCTCCTGGAGGGGAGCTCTAGCCCACCCCACCCCCCGTCAGGATGGGGACCCTCTCTTGCCCTGGGGCAGGGGCACACTCTGCAATGTGCAGCCAGGGGAGCTGTCCCCTCCTCCTCTCCACTCTCGAGGGTGAGGGCGGGTTCTGCCACCGCTCCTGAGAACACGCCTCATCGCGTAACCCGGTGACCAGCAGGCCCAACCCCAGGCCTGCCACCTGGCCTGGCAGAGCCCCAGGCCCACCCCTCCCTGCGGGGACAGGAGGCCCAGTCTGGCCCTGTGCAGCCCCACACCCTCTCCTGGGACTCCCCCAGCCTGGCTTGGTCCTGTGCGCCCCGATAGCTGCTGCAGTACGGCTGGGGACACCCAGAGCCTGCAGTGCCCAGAGCTCATCTCAGGGAAGAGCTGCACCCCCGCCCCCGTCCTGTCCCCTAGAAGCCAGTCAGAGGCTGGAGCCGTATGAGGCTTTATTGGGTCTGCAGGGTGGGGAGCGAGTGGCCGAGTCTCACTGGGGACCCAGGCAGGGGGCCACCTGGCTGCGGAACCAAGAGATGCCGAAGATGACTCCGAGGGTCTTGGGGATGTCCGGGTCATCCGCGAAGGCCTGGGCGCCACCCAGGGGCAGGTGCACGACCTCGATGAGCTCACCCTCCTCCGCCAGGCCCCCGCCCTGCCCACAGCGCTGGGCATCCGTCACCTCTGCGTAGAACATGGTCTGTCTGGAGCCAGTCAGTCCCACTCCAGACCTGCAGGTGAGACAGGGTCTGCTGAGCCACCCACGGTGGCCCCGCCAGGTAGCCCTGTCCCTGCCACGGCCCTCCAGCCCCCTCCACCCCACTCCCCCCAGCACTCTGGTGGGCGGGACTCTGGGATGCCCCATCCCACGCCAGATCCCCCTTGCAGGGGGAGACCTGTGAATGTGGGTATGTCGGACCAAGGAGGGTTTTGCAGATGTGGTGAAGGACCCTGATCAGTTGACCTCAGATAAAGGAGAGGGACAGTCTCCTGCGTGGGCGCGACCTAGCTCCCAAGGGAGGCTTCTGGGGTCAGAGATGGACTCAGAGAGGCTATCCGGCCGGCCCTGACAATGGACCGACCCTCCGCGCTGGCGGTGGCCACCGCAGGGGCCTGCGGGCAGCCTCCAGGGGTGAGCAGACGGGCACCCGCTCACACAGCCACCTGCGCCCTGGCTGAGGCCACAGACCGGGCAGGGCTCAAGTAAAGGACCCCCCCCACATGCAGACCCCTGACCCCCAGAAACGGTGGGGTTGCCAACGTGTGATGTTTGAAGCCACTAAGTCTGTGGCAGGCCCCGTCCCCAATTCTGCTGGGCCAGCCAGACCCCAGCCCGCGCCCAGGGCCTAGGCTGTCTGGGAGGTGAGGGCAACCCCACAGCCCGGCAAGGTGGCCTGCATGGCGAGCGCCCCCACTGGGCACATGCGGGGCTGGCGCAGCATGTGCCGAGGTGGCCTGGCGTGAGGCAGGGTGGCCATGAGGGCCCAGGCCCGGCCCAGCGGTGCAGGCTGGAGAGGGGTGAGAGGAAGTCCCTCCCTCGGTGGGCAGTGGCCAAAAGGAGCTGCTGGAAGCCAGGCGAGGACAGCCCCCACACCGGGGCAGCAGTGCACCTGCACAGGCAGGGCCCAGAGGGGACGTTGGCCGAGAGGACGGGGCTGCAGGGGCCAGGCTGGGTTCCAGAATAGGAGGGGCAGGCACCATGCGGATTTGGGGAGGAGGAGGAGGAACCAAGGGGTGTCTGGGGAGATGTCTGGGGGTGAGGGAGCCCTGGTTCGCCCCAGATGTTGGGGGGCATGGGCCAAGGCCAGCCAGAGGCCTGCAGGGTGGGGCTGCCCCCAGAGATGCCCCCAACCCACGGGAGCAGAAGCGAGTCTCCCCACCGCCTGGGGACGACCCTGCCCCAGCTGCCTCCCTGCCCTCCTACCCTTATCCCGTGATGGGAGGGCTGGCCGGTAGGGCGTCAGTCCCGTGTCCTGCACTTGCGGAAGGGACCGGCCCAGCCAGGCTGCACAATGCCTCCCTCATGGCCCTGATCTCACAGCCCTAGCTGGGTGTTCTGATCCTTGTCACCTGTGACTGGCAGGTGAGTGCCCTGGCTCACCTCCAGGGCTACAGACTGGGAGCCACGGGCCCTGCTACGGGATGGAGGGCCCCACTGTCTGTCCAGCCCCCCATCAGGCCTATAGGGACAGGTGCCTTGCCCTCTCCTCAGCCCAACCTCCAGTCCCACCTACCCAAGGCCACACTGTCCTTTCCAAAGCGCAGGTCTGAGCAGATGTTCACCACCCAGAACCCTCTGTGGCTCCCTAGCACCCCCAACATCAGGCCACGGCCCAGAGGCCCTGCCTGAGAACTCCTGCAGCCAGGGCTGCTGGACCACTCCTCCCCGAGCCCCCCAGACTCAGCCCAGGGGACCCCGACCTCTCCTGGGCACCGCCCACCTGCCCTCTACCCAGCCTGCCCCACAGCCACCTGCGGGCAGCACCTCCGGGAGGTCAGGCCCCCGGGATCCTCCCTGCCCCCAGCACTGCGGGCCAGGAGGTTGGGGCACAGGGGCGGGCCACAGGGCGGACACCTGTGGAAAACCAAGGCCTGCCCTTCACACCCCGGACAGCCGGCCCTTCAGCACAGAAATCCCTACCCGGGGTCCTGGGCGCTGAGCAGGAGGACCCCAGCTCGACAGAGTGGCCCATGCTGGGCTGATGGGTGGCAGAGACACCTTGGCTGCTCCCAGGGGAAGTGGGGGCCTGGCCCTGCAGAAGGCTCCTGGGGGCTGGTGCTCAGCTTGGGAGGGGCCCCTGCGAGACTCTCCTCCTGCCCCCTGACCTCAGCCGGGGTCAGGGACCCGTCACAAAATCCCTGGGACAGGGGACAGGCTTTACCCCAACATCCTGTCCTGGGAAGGTGACCCCAGCTGGTGGGCCCCCGGGGGCATGTGTAGGGGCGGGGACATCTGAGCTTGGGTGAGGGCAGGTCCCGGACCCGGACTGTAGGCCGTACCTCTCCCCCTACCCCCGAGAGCTGCAGCCCCCTCCCCGCCCGGGACCCGTCCCTCCCTCATTCCTGAGCCACCATCTGAGAACGGAGCTGTGACTCACCCCCACCCCCAGCGCCCGGTGCTTAATCCCACAGGAAGTAGAGGCATCTGTCAGCAGCAGCTGCCACCCGGAGGCTGGCCCCGCACGGCTAGGGGCCGCAGGGTGGGGGCACGGGCCCAGCTTGCTCCAGAATGAGCCCCGAGAGCCCTGGGTTCCGGCCTGGCTTAGGATCTGAGGCATATTGTGACCAGCCCTCCCCCAATGCCAAGTTGAAAACGAGGAGGAATCCATCCTGCTTACATACCCCCGGGGATGGGGTGCTCACTCCCTCGCAGGCAGCCTGCCCCCTTCCCTGTGCCATGCAACAGCAGGATGCTCCGCCCCGGCCCACCGCCCTGCCCGCACACTGCGGGCCCACGCGCCTGCTCCACTTACCGGTACGTGGCCACCTGCCGCAGATCAGAGGGGGCCACGCGGTAGCCACACTCCTCCCAGGCCTCCTTGCAAGCCACTTCCTCCAGGGAGAGCCCCGGCTGGTCCACGAGGCCGGCACAGAGCTCGAATGTCACCCCCGCCGAGCCCGGCAGTGCCGGCTGCAGCTGCCGAGGCCCGTCCTGGCCCACCGCCGCCAGCGACCCTGGGAAGCGGCGTTCCACTTCGCCCGCATACACGGCTGGTTGGGGGAGGGCACACCGTGTCACAGCCACGTGCTGGCCACCTCCTTGTGATCAGCGCCGGGCCACACCCCCTTGCAGGGCCTCAGTTTCCCCTGGAGCCATTCCCCACATCTGCATTGAGACCTTCAGGATCACAGGGGCCTGGGGGTGACCCTGCAGCCCCCCTCCCCACCCTAGCTGGCCTCACCTGGCCGGAACTGCTTCACCAACACCAGGCTCCTCTGAGAAGCGTTGAACATGAGAATGGCCACGCTGCGTACGGGAGGGGCTCAGCACCGAAGCGGCCCCCACCTCACCTCCCCGGGGCCCGGCTCCCGTCCCTCCGTTCCCCCATGCCCACCCCACCACCCCGGACATCCCAGGGGCGTCGGGCCCCTTGCTCAGATGGGGAGGCTGAGGCCCAGGAAGGGCCGGAGCTTGACACGGCCACACGGAGCCAAGGAAGGACCCAGAACTCCTCGGGGGCCAGGAGGTCAGCATGGCAGCAGCTGAGGCTGGGTGAGTGACAGGACATTTGGCCTCTGCTGGCCAGCTGCCCACCAGCCACACTCCTTGGGGCACGTCACCATCCATCCCGTACCCCAGGTGCTGGGGGCCGGGCACCAGGAAGCCTCTCCCGGCCCGAGAGGGGCTGCCTGCCCCATGGTCCAGGTGTCCCGAGCCAGGACCTGCCTCAGCCTCCAGACCTCAGCCTGACCCCTCGGGGACAGGAGGCCGGGCTGAGAGAGGATGTTTGGAGACCCTGAGGGAGCACAGGGCAGGGAGGGGTGGGCTCCAGCCTTGGGCCCGTGGCTGAGGCCCCCGTGGCCGTGGCCTCAGTCCCGGGCTTCCCCAGTGGTGGAGCCAGGGCGGGCTTTCACCTGTCATGGGTCTTCATGAAGTCCCATGACTTCTGGGTGCCGTTCTGAAAGAGACAGGGCAGCAGTCAGCATGAGCCAGAGGCCGCCAGCGCGGACAGAGCACCAGGGAGCCCAAGAGGCCACGTAGACCTGCAGCACCGGCTCCAGCCCGGGGCCTGCTGACCAGGAGCTGCAGCGGGGGTGGGGGAGAGCAAGCAGCCCGGCTAGGCGGGGGGTCAGGGACAGCCCGGTGCTACAGGGCAAAGGCCATGGAGCACAGCCCAGCACAGGCTGAGCAAAAGAGCCTGCAAAGGCTGGGCACGGTGGCTCACGCCTGTAATCCTAGCACTCTGGGAGGCGGAGGCAGGAGGATCGCTCAAGGTCAGGAGTTTGAGACCAGCCTGAGCAAGAGCGAGACCCCCTCTCTACTATAAATAGAAAGAAATTAATTAGCCAACTAAAAATATATAGAAAAAATTAGCCGGGCATGGTGATGCACGCCTGTGGTCCCGGCTACTCGAGAGGCTGAAGCAGGAGGATTGCTTGAGCCCAGGAGTCTGAGGTTGCTGTGAGCCAGGCTGATGCCACGGCACTCTAGCCTGGGTGACAGAGTGAGACTCTGCCTCAAAAAAAAAAAAAAAAAGAGCCTGCAAAGAGATGTACACTGTCACCAAGTGTAGGAAGGATCCTGGAGGCTACAGGGGAGGGACAGGCGTGGCAACCTCACAGGGAGGGCAGGGGTCCCCATGGGGACAGAGCAGAGGTCAGTTTTCACTGTTGCAGCTCCCCTAGGCCACAGACACAGGGAGACAGGAGGGCAGGGGGGCTGGATGCCAGAATCCGCTGGGGTGGGGCAGGTCCCAAGCAGCAGGGAGGTCTGCAGCAGCACTGGGTGACTCAGGGACACCCCCTCCCCTGCCCGGTTTCTGGCTTGGGCTCTCCCCCAAGTCCTGTTCTGCACATCCCTCCCCCACACTGCTCCCCCACCCTGGGCACCCCAGCCCAGGCTCCCACACCCGGAAGGCCCTCGGTGGATGGAGGAGGCTGGGCCCCTGGCAGCATCCAGCACCGATGCCACCAACCACCGGCTGGAAAGCGCCAGGCAAGAGCGCTCCCACCCTGGGGGCTGGACCTGGGCCCTGGGGACCTTCCCCACGGCTGCCGGTCTCCAGCACGCTGGGCCCATCTGCCACTCAGCCGCTGGGCAGCCCTGAGGCCCTGGCCAGCTGCTCACCCCACGCTGGGGGCTGTGTTGGGCTGTGCAGTGGACAGAGGCCCAAGCACCAGAGACACAGAAAGTGCGGTCAGGGCTGCAGAAGAGGGAAGATGCCAAGAGACAGCCTTCAAGAGGACTTCCTGGAGGAGGCGATGGGAGGGGGAGGGCATTCCAGGCTGGGGCCCTCACAGGTGGAGGTGTGGTGGAGGGGAGCTAGGGGAGCTGGGCTTGGCCTGGAGGCAGAGGCATCCTGGGAGGAAAGTGCAGCGGCCTCGGTTTCTACGGTGGGGAGGGCCGTGTCCTGTGCAGGTCAGGCCGCCCGGAGGGCCGCGGAGACACCACCCCCGAGAGGCGAGCCCAGGCCTGCCTGGCATGGGCCACCCCAGGGCCAGCCACCCACCCAGAGCAGGCTCCAGGAAGGCCTGCCCCTCCCTGCCGTTGGCCACACGCACCTGCTGTGTCCCCACCCCGCCCCTACCAGTAAGCGTCCCCCATGCAGGTCTCAGCTCAAGATCAAAAAGCAGACCCTTAGGTCCAGCCAGGGTGAGGAAGGTCCAGAGAGGCCCATGGAGGCCCCGTAGGAGGGACCGGCCTGGGAGCAAACGTGGTGGGGCTGCCTGTCCACCAGGCCTCCCCGGCTGGGCCCAGCACATAGCCAGGGGCTGCAACTACCCTTGGTGGCATACACCACGCAGCCCGCCGTCCCTTGGCCCCTGAGGAAGCGCCGCCCCAGCCCGTGTCCACTTCAGCCTGAGGCGCACCTGCTGGGCCTTGGTCACCGCACCCATCAGCGGAAATGCGCCGTGGGCTGCCCGCAGCGCTTCCCGGCAAGTGGGGAGACGGTGCTGTGGCCGGGGCCACCCTGTGCCACCTGCTGCCCCAGAGCCCCAGCCCCTGCGGCTGTGCACCCACAAGTGGGCATCTCACACCCACCAGCCTCCTGCTCCAGGCCAGCGTCAGAAAGGGGCCGCAACGCCCGTCCCCTCCCTCTGCCCCCAAACTAACCCAGCTGCTCCCCCGGCCAGAGCTGCCCACGGCCTCGTCCTGAGGAGAGGAGGCCCCGGTGGTCCGGAGCCAGTGGGACCCCCACGAGACGGCGAGTGGGGGGCAGGGCCTCTCACAGGTGGGGCCAACAAGGGTCACAGAGCTGGCGAGAGGCTAGGACGTGCTGGGGGCCGGGAGGCAGCGGGCAGAGGGCTCGCAGACCTGGACCACGCCCTGACGGAGGCTGTGGCCGGAGACTGGAGGGGCTCCAGCAGGGCGACACCCGGGGCGGGCAGAGCAGGCAGCAGAAGCCCACGCCTGCACCAGGCAGGGCCGGGCATGGGGGGCAGGAGGAAGCCGTGCCCGGTGCCAAGAGGCAGCGTGGCCCTGCCGTCCTGGTGACTGGTGGGAGGAGACGGCCTGGGAGGTGAGGAGAACTGGGCTTGGGCAGGTGGGACTCCAAGGAGGGGCCCTCCCTGCAAAACCCCCCAGGGAGGAAGCCAACTTTGGGAGTCCTCACTGCTCCCTCTCCTGCCTCCCCTCTGCTCGGCCTCTCTGCCCCATGCTCTTTCCTCCTGGGCCCAGCTATCTCCTCTTTCAATTCCTAGCAGGGAGCTGCCACTTCCAGGAAGCCTTCCCTGATCCCCAGGGCCACCAGTGGGATGAATCCCGCTGCCAAAAAGGACGGACGGACGGGGTGGGCAGGAAGGTCCGCTCGGTATGGAGCTGCCATCCAAGACAAGCTGTCACACCCCCAGCAACGCCTCCTTGAAAGCACACGGCCCTGTCCTGGCCCCTCCCCGCCTGGGGGGTCCACCTGGCCTGGGAACCCCGGAGGGGCAGGCAGAGGCGGGGCCGGCGGCGCGAGGGGCGGGGCCACCGGCGCGGGGCGGGGCCACTGGCGCGGGGGCGGGGTCAGCGGTACAGGGGGCGGGGCCGCGCGGGGCCGGGGCTGGGGGTGCGCGCGGGCTCACCTGGCGGTAGTGCAGCGTGAGCGGCCGCAGGTAGGGCGAGGCGGCGCAGGGGCCCACCGCCACCCCCTCGATGCGCTCCATGGCGGCGTGCGGGGCAGGCCCGGGAGCGGGGCCGAGTGCTGGCCGGAAGCGAGCGGGAGGGCGCGGGCCTGCGGCTCTGGGCATGCCCAGTGGGCTGCGGGGCGGCGCAGCGCGGCGGGGCGGGGCGGGGCGCCCAGGTGGCCCTGCGGTGGGCGGCGCACAGGTGGGGCGTGGGGACGGGGAGCGGCACCGGGGACCTCTCGCGGCCGCAGTCCCGCGATTAGGCCCCGGGGAGGGGACGCGCCGCAGACCCGCGCGGGCGGGCGAGCAGACCCCTCCTTCGCGTGGGCAGCGGGACGGCCCCCTCGAGGTTCCTGCGGGAAGGGCGGCCGGGGGCCGGCCTGGGCTGCGCTGCCCACCTGCCCCACGTGGGAGGAGCTGCTCCCTGTCCCTGCTCCACTCACTGGCCAGCCGCTGCTCCCTCCTCCAAGATGCACCCCCACCCTGCTGAGCCCCTTCCAGGCAGCGGGAATTCTTCCTTGGGCATGGGTCCTAAGGAATCGCACCCCCCCACCCCCCACCCCCCCACCCCCGCCCCAATGCCACCACTGCCTCCCTAGGAGCAGGTTCCGGCTGAGCCCTGGCCTGCACCTGCTCTCTGAACTATGGCTCAGGGGCTTGAAATTGACTCCCGTGTCTGTTACCTACAGCTGTGTGACAAAACGCTCCAAAACTTAGTGACTTAAAGCACCCGCTTGGTAGTGTCTCTCCCAGTGGGGGTTGCCCCATCTCAGAGAGGCGGCTTAGCAGTGGGGGCTGTCTGCAGTTGTCATCAGGTGGGGGGGGGGCGTTGGTGTTACCTGAAGGCTAAACAGCATGGGCCGACCAGGTGGCTTCTTCTCCCCATGTCAGGGCCTCAGCTGGGTGGCTGGAACCGCCAGTGGAGGCTGGCCGGCCCCCTGGGGCTGGCTTGGGCTTCCTGGAAGTATGGCAGTCCCAGGGCAGTCAGATTCTTCCACGGCAGCTGGACATAAAAGGCCACGTATTGTATGATGCCATTTATATGAAATGTTCATACTAGGTAAGTAAATCCATAGAGACAGAAGGCAGATTAGGGGTGCCAGGGCTGGGGAAGAGGAGAATGAAGAATAATTGCTCAATGGATGCTGGTTTTCTTTTTGAGATGAAGAACATATTCTGGAACTAGGTTGTGCTGGTGGTTGCACAGTGTTATGAAGATACTAAATGCCACTGAAGTGTTCACTGTCAAATGGGTGAAGTTATGTGGATTTCAGTTCAATTAAAAACATTTTCTTTTGTAGAGACAGGGTCTCACTATGTTGCCCAGGCTGGGATGGCACCGCGAGGTCCCCAGTGCCGGACCCTTTTAGGTCCTGTACGTGTCTCACTACGTTGCCCAGGCTGGACTCAAATTCCTGGGATCAAGCGACCCTCCCACCCCTGCCTCCCAAGTACCTGGGACTACAGGCGTGCAACAGCTCTGTTCACTTTTTTTTAAAAAAAAGGAAAAAGGTATCAGTGAGGCTGTTCAGAAACATTCTGTGCTGGCCGTGGCCACTCAGCCCTGTCTCCCCACGTGCCCTGGGTCCCTTCCCATCACGCCAGGCCACGGTCCCACACACATCCCACAGGTGGACCTGAGGACAGGAGGCGCCTGCCGTCCCCCAGGGAGGGGAGGACCACAGGCAGAGGAGTCCTGCCATCGTAGTGGGGTGCCTGTTGTGCGCAGGGCGCTAGGAATGGGGGCGTTGTGGGCAGGCCCCCTGGAGCAGAAGGCGACAGGACAAGTACCCCAGGAGGCAGAGGAGGGCCGGGGCAGCCTCCCCAAGGACATGGTGCTCTGCAGAGACCTGAAGGACCCAGGAAGGAAGAAAGAAGATGTCCTGGCTTTGGCGGTTGTCCGGATGGGGGTGGTGCACACGCTGGCCTTGGTTTCTCCCCGTGGAAGTGGGCGGAAGTGGACGGGAGCGGAGGAGGAGCCTGTGAGGGTCTCCAAGAGGGGAAACGAGAGGGTGCTGTGGGGCCCAGGGGCCTGAGCCAGCAGGGAGGCCTCTGGAAAGCCACCTCAGGTTGGGCAGTGTGGGGACATCGGAGACCCCGCCACATACAGGTTCAAGGCGCTAACATGCTGTGTGGGGCCAGGGAAGGGGGACTGGGCCTGGCGCCCGCTCATCAGGGCCGCCAAAGCCAGCACGAGCCGCCGTGGGGCCTTCCCACCCGGCCATCCAGCCTTCTGCGCTGTCCCAGTGCTCAGTGCCGGTTCCTCCTCTGGCATCTCCCTGTTTTACCGTGGTGGCTTTGGGGTACACCTTCATATCTGCTGCAAGTTCCCCCTTTGTGTTCCCCTCCCCCCAAATTAGCATCTTTATCATTAGCCTTGATTTTGCCTTACAAATATTAGAACAAGTATAATGAAATCAACCACTGGAACTTCCGCTGGGAGAGACTGTGTCCCCATGCTCCGCGTGTGCCCAGAGACAGCCCCGTCCCTGGGTGCCCCATGCGGGGTCTCCCCTTTCTCTCAGGGCTCTGCGGGCGAGCGGTCTCCCTGTGAAGGCACCACTGGCTTTTGCGTGGTTAGAAGTGAGGTGGTAAACACACGGCAGTGTGTAAACGGTGTTTGTTAAAGGTTATGAAATCACATGTTCCCGGGACCGGGAAGCTGCCTGGGGGCTTCCCTGCACAGAGCGACTCGGTCCAGGCTTCGCGTTGGTGCCCCCTGGCTTTTTGGACCCTTTTAGGTCCCATATGTGTCCCCAAGCTACCGTTCCTTTTTGTCTTAACAAACTGAGTGGCCGGCTCGACTAGTCCGGGGAGGGCAACTGAACAGAGGCTGGGGATTCGGTGGCTTCAGCCCCCGGAACCTTCTCCAGACCCAGCTGGGGCCGCAGTGGGCTGGGACCGGGTGATGCAGGAAGACCCAGACCCCGCACGCAGTCAGGGCAGCTGGCGGGGCTGGGGGCTGCTCTGGAGTTCTGCCTCTAACCCACCAGGTCCCCACCCTAGTCCTCCCGTGTGCCAGGCACAGGTCAACGCAGACACAGCCAGGGCCACGCTGGGTTACTGCCTGGTCTGGACGGCGACTCTGCCCTTCAGACAGCCCCTCACACTAACCCTAACCCTAACCCCTTCCCCTCACTCCTGAGGCAGTCTTGGGGCTTCTCTTTCTTGGTTTACACTCTCATTGTAAGGGAGCACATCCTGCAGCAGCTTCTTGAGACGAGGTGCGTGGAAGAGACATTTTGAGCACCTGCATCCAAGAATGTCTGTACTACACCCACACACGTGAATGATAGTTGGGCTGGGTATGGAATTCTGGGCTGGAAGTCTCTGTCCCCCAGCACTTTGCAGGCATCGCTCCGGCATCCCTTTGCCTCTGGGGGCTGCTTCCTTCCACTGCCGAAGCCGTCTGAGGCCCGTCTGGGGCCGCAAACATATGTCCGTGTGGAGAACGTCCCGTCTGCACTGGAAAAGAGCACATGTCCTCCGGTTGTTGCACTCTCAAATCGTCTGCATCTTCGCTTGCGGATGCTTGAGCCAAGCACAGAGCAGGTGGTACAAACTGAAATAGGAAGTGATATCTGGAGTTGATTTCAAAATAATCCTGTTTTGGGAGGGAGAAGAGCCAGCCCCGAGTTGAAGACTGCTGAGGCTCAGTGAAGGGCCCGGGGAAGCTCCGTACTCTTCTGTCTACTTTTGTGTATGTTTTGTGTACGGTCTACACACTGTCTGCCACGAGGCCCGTGAGCCCGGGCGGGACCCCAAACCTTTCTCTGCAGCAGACCCCACACGCGCTGAGCACACGGGCACGGGAGAGCGGAGGGGTTCCCCGGGGTTTCTGGCCGGAGGTGGGTGGGTCTGGGGGTCTGTTTGAACAGAAGAAGTGTGAGGCGTCCCTCGCAAAACTGGACACCCATGTGCAAAAGAGGGCAGCTGGATCCTAACCGAACACCATAAACCGGGCGTGCCTCCAAGTGGGTGAAGAGTCTAAACGTAAGAGCTAAACCCATAAAACTCTTAGGAAAACCTCCAGAGGGAAGCGTGGCGACGCTCGACTTGGGGGTGATTGTTCTGATTTGACACCAGCGGCACAGGCGGCGAAAGGGAAAGCAGACAGACGGGACTTTATGAAAAGTGGCAACTTGTGTGTTGAGACTGCAGCGTCGAGACAGAGGGGTGGCAGAGCGGGCGCGGCGTGTCCACACAGGGCTGTGGGGTATTAAAACTGCATTTAGAGGCCGGGCATGGTGGCTCCCGCCTGTGATCCTAGCACTCTGGGAGGCCGAGGTGGGCGGATTGCTCGAGGTCAGGAGTTCGAAACCAGCCTGAGCAAGAGCGAGACCCCGTCTCTACTATAAATAGAAAGAAATTAATTGGCCAACTAATATATATAGAAAAATTAGCCGGGCATAGTGGCGCATGCCTGTAGTCCCAGCTACTCGGAGGCTGAGGCAGGAGGATCGCTTGAGCCCAGGAGTTTGAGGTTGCTGGGAGCTAGGCTGACGCCACGGCACTCACTCTAGCCTGGGCAACAAAGCGTGACTCTGTCTCAAAAAAACAAACAAACAAAAAAATGCATTTAGAATGAAGACTCTTTGTATTATAAAAATCACAAGGAGTATTTCTAAGTAAGACAAAATATTTCTAGGTTAACAACACCAGATTTGACTTTGGGCTTTATTATTTAAACAAATCGTAGAGAATGGAGGTGGGGAAATAGGTTATTTACAGAAAACATCTACGCAGGGACTCAATATTTCGTGACAGGAAAGACTTCAGAACATGCTGGCGTCTCAGAAGCAGTTCTCGAATAGCTTAGTTTTATTTTCTTTGACTGTGGGAATGCCTAAGTGTGGGTGGACCGCGGGGACGCTGTGCTGGGTGACAGGGGCCACAGGACACGGCTTTGCGATCCTGCCCCCAGGAGGGCCGGGGGCTGTCAGGTTGGCAGAAAGCAGAAGGGAGGGTGCCGGCCGGAGCGGGACAGGGGAGTTAGTGTTTAATGGGTGCCGACTGAAGAAAAGCCAAGCTCTTAAGAATCGGAGCCGGAAGTCCTACTGAGGACCGCGGACGGAGGGCTGCGGCCCGGCCTGGAGAAGTCTTCAAGAGAGGCCTCCCC